ACTAATTGACTCAATCTCTATATCATTGCATGAAGAAAAACTACTAGATTCTGTAAGATAGGTTTTCTCTGTAACATCATCTTGTTGTGTTGCATGGGGATAAAGCTGGAAAGGGGTGGGAGGCATTTGTAAGCTCTCAAGTTCTGCTTCAAGCATCTCTATGACTTTGTTCATTGAAGGGCGATCAATTGGCTTCATCTGTATGCACCACAAGGCTATAATGATCATTTTCTTTGCAATTCTTTTTTGATCTTCTGTGGCTTCTCTTATTTCTAGCTCCATTCCTTTGTTCAATTGCTCTGATGCCCACGAAGGAAAGTGGATCTGACTTGAATGCTCTGCAAATGGGTTCACATTCTTTCTTTTGCTTGCCATTTCCATCAATAACATTCCATAACTGTACACATCAGCTTTGTAAGAGACACTTCCTAAGTTCTTGTAAAACAGTTCAGGTGCCATATATCCCAGAGTTCCTCTTGCTGCAGTCAAGGACACAGTGTTACCTTTGGTTGGATATAATTTTGCAAGACCAAAATCAGAGATTTTTGGAGTGAAGTTCTCATCTAAAAGAATGTTGTGAGGCTTGATATCAAAATGCAAGATTTGCATATCACAACCTCGATGTAAATACTCAATTCCACGAGCTACTCCTAGAGAAATCTTGTATAGATCTTCCCAACCCAAAGTTGCAATATTGTCTTCTGTAGAGAAAATATGTTTATCAAGAGAACCATTAGGCATGAAGTCATACACAAGGGCACGTTTTGATCCTTCAGCACAAAAGCCAATCATTTTTACCACATTGACATGGTGAATTCTTCCAATGGTAGCAACTTCGTTGCAAAAATCTTGCCCTGTAGCTTTTGATTTGCCCAATATCTTTATTGCTGCAAGGCGACCACTCTGCAGCTTTGCTTTGTAAACTTGACCAAAACCTCCTTCACCCAATTTCTCCTTAAAACCATTGGTCATTTTCTTGATTTTTGAGTAAGAATATCTTACAGGCATGAGGTTATTGTTGCTTTGCAAGAATTCTTCAATAGAATTATACATGGATAAATGCCTTCTCCTCCATTTGAAGACCAAAAATATGATGAAACTTGGAATTCCAAGAATAGCTAGTGGTGCATGCCATGCGATCCA